CCCCGTCTGTAACCATAAACAGCTCAGCCAATAGCCCACCCCACCCCCCAATGGTGTCCCCCTTTACCAGTGTTAAAATCTGGTCACCTTACTTTGCAAGGTAAACAGCTCTTCATCCACTCTGTGTGACAAGGGTCCCCCCATGGCAGCACCTTCCTTAAGCATGTCTAGTAGGTGGTAGATGGGTGCAGGTCAGATGTGGCTGACTGCTTGCTGTACGGGGACCCTGCTGCTCCCACTCTGTGCTTTTGGTGATGAAGACAGGCCCCCACATGGATGAACCCTCCTGCGGGAAGTACCCTCACGGTTGGGCAGACAGCAGCAGACAACAGCATACTCGACTCCTTCCATGTTTGCTCACATGCCTCCTAAGCACTCAGACTTTCCCTTAGCCAGTCTCTCCTCCCTTTCTAGGCCTTCTTCCATAGCACTATAAGAATTTTTTTAAGAATTATTTTTTTTTTAGACAGAGTCTTACTTTGTTGCCATAGCATCATAACTCACAGCAACCTCAAACTCTTGGGCTTCTCTTGCCTCAGCCTCCCAAGTAGCTGGGACTATAGGCGCCCACCACAACTGACCTGGCTGTTTTGCTCTGGCTCAGGGTGGTCTCAAACTCCTCAGCTTAGGTAGTCTACCCCCCTCAGCCTCCCAGAGTGCTAGGATTACAGGCGTGAGCAACTGTGCTCTGCCCCAAGAATTATTTTTTTAACGTATAAGTCTGATCATTTACTTTGCTGCTTAAAACTTCTCATTGACATCATCTGCATAAATCCCAAACCCTAGGTCCTTACAGCTCACATCTTTTGCCTCCGTTTGTGACACCAGCCCTGCTTCTTGTGTGCCCTCTAATCACAGCCCTATTCCCTTCCTTCCCAGCCTCTCCTGTTAAACCAGCTATTCTCTCCATCCCTTCTTTACTATTTGATCCCTTTTTCAGTGGCCATTTCTTACCTTGGCCCTGCTTCCTCCTGCTGTAAGTTGCTAGGCTGTGTCTGCTGTCAGGCAGCTGGGCAGTGCAACGCTAGCACCTAGCACGAGGCCCCAGCTTTGACACACTCAGGGCTAGACTCAACTCTTTACTCTTTCTGTGCTCTAAGGCTAGAGGAAGGCATAAAATTTATCTAGTTCTTTATAGATTGATACTGTCTTATTTAATATGAAAGTATTATAAATTTATTTTCCAACTGTCATTTTCTATAGTTTTAATAATAGATTTTCATGGCTGGGTGTAGTGGCTCATACCTGTAATCCCAGCACTCTGGGAGGCTGAGGCAGGTGGATTGCTGAACTCATGAGTTCAAGACAAGCCTGAGCAAGAGTGTGACCCTGTCTCTAAAAATAGCTGGGTATTGTGGCAGGCACCTGTAGTCCCAGCTACTCGGGAGGCTGAGACAAGAGAATCACTTGAGCCCAAGAGTTTGGGGTTATTGTGAGCTGTGATGTCACAGCACTCTACTGAGGATGATACAGTGAGACTGTCTCCAAAAAAAAAAAAAAAAAAGGATGGATTTTCAAACAGTTGTACACTTTTGGGTTCATGTTTATTAGTCATCAGGTATCTGAGTGACTATTTTTGTTCTAATTTTTTTCTTTAGTGTTTTATTGTGTTAAAATACCCATAACATAAAATTTGCCACTTACCGATTTTTAAGGTGTACAGTTTAGTGGTATTAAAAACATTTGTAACATAATATAGCCATCACCACCAGCCATCTTGAGAACTCTCTTCATCTTATGACACTGTACATGTTAAACAATAAATCTCCCATTCCTCCCTTCTTCTGGCCTTACCAACCACTGTTCTACTCTATAGATTTGCCAGTCTTTTTTTTTTTTTTTTTTTTTTTTTTATGGAGACAGAGTCTCACTCTCACTAGGTAAGAATGCCGTGACCTCAACCTAGCTCACAGCAACTTCAAACTCCTGGGCTGAAGCAACCTTCCTGCCTCAGCCTCTCAAGTAACTGGGATTACAGGCTCCCGCCACAACACCTGGCCCAGTTTTGCCTACTCTTAAGTACCTCACATAACTGGAATCAGTGCAGTAGATCCTTCATAGTTGACCACCTCCCTAGCGTTGATCATCTCCTTAATTTGACCTGATTTTCATAGACTGTACGTGTACCATATAATGTAAGTTCCCTATGGTGACCACCTCCATATGTTGACCATCTCCTTAATTTGACCTGATTGTCTTAGACCATACATACACTGTATGTACTCAATGCGAGTTCCTTATGCTGACCACCCCTGTATAATGATGAGTTTGTTATAGTCCCTTGGGTAGTCAACTCACAGGTTCTAATGTATTTGTTTTTTTTGTGACTGGTTTGTTTCACTTAGTCATTCTGATTTTGAGACTTCTAGTTGTGTACATTTTTGTTCATTTTTCTTTTTGTTCCTAGAGATAGGGTCTCATTTTATCACCCAGGCTAGAGCACAGTGACCTTACCATGGCTCACTGCAGCCTCAAACTCCTGGGCTCAAGCAATCTTCCTACCTCAGCTTCCTGAGTAGCTGGGACTACAGGCATGTACCTCCATGCCCGCCTAATTTTTCTTTCTTTCTTTTTTTTTTTGAGACACAGTCTCAAGCTGGCGCCCTGGGTAGAGTGCCTTGGCACTCACAGCAACCTCCAACTCTTGGGCTCAAGCCATCCTCTTGCCTCAGTCTTTCTATTTTTACTAGAGATAGGGTCTCACTTTTGCTCCAGCTGGTTTTGAACTCATGAGCTCAAGCTATCCACCTGCCTCGGCCTCCCAGAGTGTCAGCTAATTTTTCTTAAAGATTTTTTGTAGAGATAAAGTCTTACTATGTTGCCAAGGCTGGTCTTAAAATATTAGCCTAACATTATCCTCCCATATTGTCCTTCCAAGTAACTGGAATTAGAGGTGTGAGCTCTTGCACTTCGGCTATTTTTGTTCTAATTTTTGTGGTAAAGTATCTTTGGGGCCCCGTGAACCTCAAACTTTTACATATCTCAGTCTTCAAAAAAGATTAAGTCTTCTTTTTTCTTTCCCACATGTAAGTTGTATATATTGTCTGGGTTGGAAATATTAGGACATGATTGTGTCTGAGGCTTTGACTTAAAACACCCAAGTGAGAGGTGTTACTCCCCAAGGCTTTGCAGTCCAGCCTTTAGTTCTTTAAAAACAAACAAGGAACTGGGGTATAAACGAAAGTAAAACCTATGCCCCTGTTGGTTATTGGGGGAATCAGCTTGAGGAAGTGTCCTGGTCACGTGTGACCATGGCTAACTTGCTGGTTTTCTCTCCTGCCAGCCTCTTGCCTGCTTGATGGGGCTGCCCTGGAGCCTGAGTACTACTTCTCCACCATCAGTTCCAGCTTCTCAGTCTCTCCTCTTTTCAATGGCATCACCTGTAAGGAATTCAACATTCCACTAGAAATGCTCCGGGAACTCTTAAACTTGGTAAGCAAGGAGCATTGGTGGATGAACAGACCACTGTGTGATGGTCAGTAAAAGTACTAGTGGTGGGCTCGGCGCCTATAGCTCAACCAGCTAAGGCGCCAGCCACGTACACCTAAGGTGGGTTCGAATCCCCAGCCCGGACCCGCCAAACAACAATGACGGCTGCAACCAAAAAATAGCCAGGCGTTGTGGCGGGCGCCTGTGGTCCCAGCTACTTGGGAGGCAGAGGCAGGAGACTTCGCTTGAGCCCAGGAGTTGGAGGTTGCTATGAGCTGTAATGCCACAGCACTCTGCCAAGGGGGACAGCTTGAGGCTCTGTCTCAAAAAAAAAAAAAAAAGTATTAGTGGTGAAAGCCTGATGCTGTTAAAAGAGTACCTGCATTTCAAAGTGAAATTCAACAGTCATATGTTTTTGGATTAAAGAAGGAAGGAGAATAACATTCATGGTGCCATTGTACAATACTTTCTGATTTAGTCCTTGGAGCACCATGCAGGGAGGCACCTAAGCATGCCTGTTTGGAGGTGAGGAAATCAATGTCCAGGATGGGCAGGGACGGGTAGGGCTGGGTGTAGTCCTGGGATATTATTCAGTGTGTTTCCATTGTGCCTGACTCCCTCTGGGGGTTGTTCTACTCTGTGTTCGTACAAAACCTAACTTTTTCATTTTTGGAGGACCTTTGAGGTGACACCAGGGAAGACATTGATGCCATTGTCTGAGTCCAGAAATGGATGGATGTGTGGTCAGATGTAGGGACCCTGAAGTTGTTACAGTGGAGCTGGGGTGGTTCAAGACAGATATAATGGGTGGGTGATGGCATCATCAAGGGTATAGGCTACACATCAGGCCTTCTGTTTTGGAAACGAGAAGGACACCTTGGAAAGCATGGAGCCTGCACTGGAGAGAGTAGCCAGCTCCCTGAGGTGTGGAATGTAAATAGAAGTCATCCTGGGAGTGGCTTTAGGCTAAAGGTGTAAGGAGACATTAAAACATAGGTGATAATTAGAAAGCCATAATGAACTGCTAAGTAGCTTAGAGTGATTTTGAGGTAACCATCAAGAAAGAAGACTTTCCCTAAACTACTTCTCAGTGTTGACATCCCAGACAGAATGGTGGCCTGGGAGGGCTGTGGCCTTCACAGATGACTCTCCTAGAACCATGTCAGAAATCCTAATTGAGGACTGTTTTATATCCTTTCTTAGGGAATTATTTTTTCTAGTATATTTAAAATTTTCAAGCTCAGGCTTCCTCTTAAGGCAGTTTTTTATCTTCTTCTAGAGTGTTGTTTGTCATTATGTATATATTTTGGAAATGACCTTGAGTACTACAGTTGCAGGGGTGGGGCAGTTTTTTCAGGTGGTTCTGCAGTTGACAGAACAGTCCATTCCTATAGGAAATGCTATATAGAGGACAGGTGAAAATAGTCGCTTCTGTTAGAAATGTAAAATGTTTGTTCCAGTTGGAATACCTGGCTTAGGGAGAAGGGAGGCACCTTGTGCCCCGAGGCCTGGCTGTGAGGGTGTCCTGGGTATCTGGGAGAGGATCGTGGGAGGACATCACACAGCTGTGCTTGGTGACTCTGAGTTGGTAAATGGCAGCAGTACCTGGAGTCTGGACCCTGCCACATCTTGAACGTGGAAATCTAATGTCAGCAAATTTGAGGGGTTGGCTCCTTTTCTTTGTTTTGTGTCATTCCTATCTAGGGAAGGAAAAGAAGTGCCAAGTGATGGCAGAATTAAAGGGAAGTAAGGGCATCCTGTGCGTATAGTCCGACTCATGACTGTGCCTCGTATGTGTGTTACTGGTAGGGAATTAAGGGCATCCTGTGCGTATAGTCCGAC